ATAATATACTGATATCCTTATTTTATACAACATAGGAATCCCGATACTTATAATCGTCCAAGTTTCTCAGATATATCATCAAGTCTATCCTCACCTGATAAACAATTACTAATGATTAATAAAGAGGATCCTGTTACTGTACTGGGTGGAGCTTTAGAAACAAGCCACTCCCTCTACACCGACTTACAGTACATGTACAAGAACTGATTGCGTGTATCCATTTTTATTTGTTAAATTTATTGCAGACAGAATTGTAATTTTTGTTATATCATCATTACTACCATTTGCTGTTTGTATGAAATGTATTGTGACAGTTTTTACAATGATGTGTCATTTTAAAATAATTATTAATCAGCTCTAAATTCAGAAAAAGTATTGCAGCATTTTTAAATAGATAGCTCATGCATGCATGGTCCATGGCCAAATTTTGAAAATATCCAGTTTGATTAGATAGTAAACTAAACTTCTAAATGGCAGAAGTGCAAGTATATTAATTTTAAAAATATAATAAAAATCAAAAATTCTGTTCTAGCCATTTAAAGCATCTTTTAAAATTCATAATAAATTCAATTTTGATCTGAATCAACTCAAACTTTCTACACAACATAAAAAACATCAAAGAATTATTAAAATGGAAAATTATCACCTTTTAAGCAAAATTTGGTTACAGACTCTGTACTATAATAGTACAGGACTTAGGCTTAATTTTTTAGTCATTTTTCAAAATTCGTAAAAATCTAAATTTGATCAAAATCAGCTCAAATTTTCTATGCAACGTTAGATCATGTATGTTTACCAGAAAAATTATAAAAATGGAGATTACTTACCTAGCAATTTTTTTTTAATTTTGGACAAAGACCATGAAACTTGCCCTTGTTCTATTCATCATGTAATTCATTGTCATCTAGCTTAGACCATAGATAGTAGTACACCACATCATACATTTAAACTAATGGGCAGAACAATCTACACTAATTAGATACAGTAGGTAAATGTATGTATCTATTACATTAAGCTTACAAGTACAAAAATTTATGACAGAATGCTCAAGATTGAGTGTTCTATTTAGTAAGATTAAAGATTTTTTATAGTCTTCTAGTTCAATTTCCTAGTAGACACGTGACAACACGTGAAAGCTAAATCCAGTAGGAGTGGTTTTTTCCAACTGGTATAGTAATGAATAATTAATAAGCTGCTGCAGACAAGAAATGCCTGCTCTTTCCTCGGCTCTTTCACTTGCTGTCCTTATCCTATTATTATTGGTTGCTAATAATGAAGGAGCAACAGGAGGAGGAGTATGTACTGAAGGATTCATGGACTTGAGTCTACTAGTAGCTAAAGCAGCTACACCAGTTGGTTCACTAGCTGATAATACTTTAGCTGAGGGCAATGAAGGAAGATGGATCATTGCTGGTGGCCATTCATTTATTCTTACTACTGCTACTGCAACAGAAGTTCTTCTTGGAGTTGATATCAGATCAAAGGGTGGTAAAAGGAACAAGTATCGTAGCATTGAGATATGGCAAAGAATAGAATGGCAAAGCAAATTATATTACCAGAAACGTGTTTCTATTCCTATTGTACTGTCTCCTGATAATGTCACTACTAATGGATTATATTGTTATGTTCTTCCTACTCCATTTAGTGTCAATGTCAGTAATTTTGGTACTTACAGGATAGGAGTGTATCAACCTGAAGATGATTCAAGTGTTGTTAGACTTTACAATGGAACCACTAGCAGCACAGAAACAATTGAAAGAATAAGAGCAGACTCCATTAATGAATCAAATATCAGAATATTTGGGGACAATAGGGAAATTGATTTAATAAGAACAACTGATGTTTTTATGATGCATCTAATAACAAGTATGTAACAATACAAAAAATTCATTAATTATTTATAATAATAATTTTTTGATTACATAGACCCTCTGAATAGCTTTCAGAATGTTTTCACTGAAACTGAAATTAATACAAACAGTCTATCAGTTACTAATGTAATAGCAGTCAATGATACAAGAGCTTTTCCTGATATACAGTTCACATGTAATGGTATTATTACTAACTGGATAATTGGTATTACACAGAATCAGGATACAAGCAAACATTATCCTAACATTTATTTAAAACGTTCTTCTGAACTGATTCATGCACTAACTGTTGATGCTTCTGCTGCTACATCAAGTAATGGTAATGTACAAGTGATATTGAAGTAGAGTATGGAGATATATTAGTAATCAATGTAACCAGTAATAGTAATCCAATGTATTATCAACAATACAATGGACCATTGAATTATGAGCTTAATAGCAGTAATGGATTAATACCATTGGAACACAATGACTATCCACTGATATCAGTTGTAGTAGGTAAGTTTTAAAATTTTAACTATTCAGTATACTGATAAGTGTTACTATTAATCAATTATTTTCCTTTAGAGCCAATCCCTTCAGTGACTGAAATGTCATCCTCTACTGCTACTGAAGGCATTAATACTGTTGCTACAATGACAATGCTATCATCCTCCACCACTACAACAGATATTGTAATGAGGCCTAATAGCATTCCAACATCAGCAGAAGTTATACATCACTCTACCAGTTTACATTACACTACTACTCTTTCCTTATTGAGTACTACATCATTATTCCCCACTAATGCCTTGTCAAGCAGTGATACTACTAGTGTTACCAAGGCCCTATCAAGCAGTGCTACCGGCACTACTACTTCACTGATCAGTAGTAGCAGTGTACCCTCATCAAGTAGCTCAATCGTTATTATTACTCCTTCTCACACTCTCTCTATTACTGAGTCAATAACTACACCATTGTCCAGCATTGAAAGCAGTCGTTCAGCAAAAGTCAGTCGTACACAAAACACTGTATCACGAGGCAATCCTACCAGTGAAGTATTAGTCACTTCAAAGAAGTCATCATCAAATTTCATTAGTGAATCATCTGTCACTAGAAGTAGTGAGCCTACAGTATTAGGCAATACAGGAAATGATAATACAATTACAATAATAGCTGCTGTTGTTGCTACAGTATTAGTATTACTGATAATTAGTACTATAGTGATATTGATATTAATAGCAATAGCATATAAAAGAAGAAACAAGGCAAAACTGATTATTGGAGGACACGACACTTGTCTTGTTAATACTTATTCTGACATTGCTCCAAATGGAAAAGAAGACAAAGAATTAAAAGGTATGTTTAATCCAAATTATGAATCACAAGGTACAGACATGCATATACATTATGCCAAAATAAACTCATGAAATAAGCAATGTGACATTTCATGTTGTTCTTTTTAAAGTTTTGATATCCTTGCAGCTCCTCTTTAGATGCATTATTTATAGTTTATGTATAATGGGTATAGACATGACCATGATTATATTTTGTTAGTGAATAATGTTTAATTATTATATTTTGTCTTTTATTGGAGCAGGTCCAATTGTGTATGAAGAGGCAAAGCCAGTGATGAATGGAACAGAAACAGTTTATGGTGACACAATGATTGACAGTACACTGATTAATGTAATTAATCCAACTTATGGAGCACCAGAAAATGGTAGAAAAAGTACATTATGGTTTAATGCATCAAGTTATGACCATTAGGTATTGGAGCATCATCAGTTTATGAAGAACCAAGTGCAGCCGTTAACAGAAAACAAAAAGTAATCATAATGTTTTTAAACAACCTTCATATCCATAACATAAACATCAATAGACTCAAAAAACACTTTCAGTTTATTTTTTGTGCTTTCCTAACAGGATATTGAATTTTCTAATGAACTGTATGGACTGTTGGAAGAAGCAACACTATATGTACCCACTGCAGTATGTATTGAATATCCTTTAATAATTATGTTTTAATTAATGTTCTTAATAGAAAAAACGTTCTGGAGGAGAAAGTGAAGAAATTTATTCTACACTAATGAATGAACTGGTAAGCCTTAATGAATTGTGCAATATAATTAAGTAATTATATTATATAGTACTCCTCCACATACTCAAGACTTGATCATACTGGTGGTAATGCATTCTTTATAGAAGATACTGAGTACTGGGAACCTGATAGTAATACTGATGGTATATACCAACAATTATCTGATAGGAAATACAGAGAAATTATAAGACACCAAATAAAGTAAGAGAGAGAGAAAAAGGGAGAATACAACAGGAAGAGATAATGTCAACAGTAACATGTATGGCTTCATGAATATGTACTCATTCTCACTCCAATAGAGTAACAGATTATTTAGGATCAGGACAGTTTGGTACAGTTAATAAAGGAGTATGGACTACACCTACTGCTGGATCAGTGTCTGTTGCTATTAAAACACTTAATGATAATACTTCAGAGGATGAGAGAGTAAAGTTTCTACAAGAGGCAGCCATTATGGGTCAGTTTCATCATCCTAATGTTGTTAAACTTCATGGAGTGGTCACCATTGGACATCCTGTGAGTCTGTAGTATTAGTAATGATTGTACTCTTTAATAATTATTAAATGTTGTACATAGATAATGATAGTACTGGAATTGATATCTGGAGGTGATTTGAAAGAGTATCTTAACAAATTTAAACCATCGTAAGTTTATATCAATAGTTGCACTAATATCTCTTGTCTCTCTCTTTTCTTAGTCCTGGGGAGTTAGTATTATCATCAGTTCCTTCTATTTTGCTCTCATTTTGTCGTCAAATTGCTTCAGGAATGGAGTACTTGTCAAGGAAGAAGTTTGTTCACAGAGATCTTGCAGCAAGAAATATATTAGTATCAGATGAAGGAACAGGAATATGCAAGGTAAGAGATTAGTACTAAGAATTGGACTTTATATAGTATGGTCTCAGATTGCTGACTTTGGTATGTCAAGGGATCTACAAGATGAATCTTATTATATTTCACAAGCAAAAAAGATTCCAATAAAATGGACAGCACCAGAAGTAATTTAGAAACTATATAATTAGAATATTGAATTGTGTATGTATAGGCATTACATTATAAGAAATATTTGAGTGCTAGTGATGTGTGGAGTTATGGAGCTGTAATGTATGAGATTTGGTCAATAGGACATAAACCATTTGAAAAAGATACCAATCAAGAAGTATGATATTATACTTTTAAAATTTTATTTTATTTTACTAATTTTAGTGCATTAGACTGGTTGATTCAGGCTATAGATTACCACCTCCTCCAGGATGTCCTAAACCAATGTATAAACTAATGATGCAATGCTGGTATGTATTTATTATTAGGTCTACTACATGTATGCAAAGCACATGTTTACATCTAATGGAATTTTAAAACAATGACACACTAAAGTGCAGCCAAATATGTCATCTAGGGGATAATATGGTCACACACACACACATTACTCTAATGCACCAAATCCACATACTACAGTGTCATTGTTATTTCACATTCAATTACAACATGCTGTCATGAACGCCCACACATAATTAATATAATGTGATATCTATAATTTTTATTTAAGATAATCCAGTGAATATTGTGTACTGATATCCTTATTTGTATTCAACGTAGGAATCCTGATACTCATAATCGTCCAAGTTTCTCAGATATATCATCAAGTCTATCCTCACCTGATAAACAATTATTAATGATTAATAGAGAGGATCCTGTTACTGTACTGGGTGGAGCTCTAGAAACAAGCCACTCCCTCTACACCGACTTACAGTACATGTACAAGAACTGATTGCATGTCTCCATTATTATTTTTTTAATTTATTGCAAACAGAAATGTAATTTTTGTTATATCCCCATTACTACCATTTGCTGTTAGTATGAAATGTATTGTGACAGTTTTTAATTACAATGATGTGCCATTTTAAATATTAATAAAATTATAAACAATAACCATGGCAATGACAAAATTAAAATGGGGAAGTCTCTAATCCCTGTCTGTGTATAATATTTATGATTGGAACCAGCTCTACATTCAGAAAACATATTGCAGCATTTTTATATTGATAGCTCATGCATATGGTCCATGACCAAATTTTGAAAAAACCCAGTTTGATTTGATAGTAAACTTAAACTTTTAAAATGACATAAGTGCAAGTATGTGAGTTAGAAAATTATGGTAAAAAATGGACAATTCTGTTCTAGGCATTTTAAGCATCTTTAAAAATTCCTAATAAATGTAACTTTGATCAGAATCAACTCAAACTTTCTACACTATATGACTACATAACAGCATGTTTGTGCATTGGAAAAAATTATAAAAATGAAGAATTATCACCTTTTCATTTTTAGCAAAATTTGGCTAAAGACTCTGTACTATAGTACAGGTCTTAAGCTCAATTTTTGAGTCTCTTTTTAAAATTCGCAAAAATATAAATTTGATTAAAATCAACTCAAATTTTCTATGCAACATAAGAACATGTATCTGCACCAAAAATAAAAAAAATGGACATTATTTACCTAGCCATTTTTATGAAATCTTGGCCAAAGACCATGAATGTTGCCCCTTGCTCTATTTATCTGTAATTCATTCACATCTAGCTTAGACCACCTTGGACTCGTACACCACATAATATCAAGTACCTACATTAAAATTCTTTTTAAATCGTTACAAGCTACGCTAATTAGAAACAGTACGGTACATGTATGTACAATAAGCTTACAAATGACAAAATACTCTTTAGTCTCAGTTTCTAGTAGACACGTGACAACACGTGGAAGCAAATGCAGTAGGAGTGGTTTTTCTAAGTAGTAATGAATAATTAACAAGCTATTATTTACTGCAGAATTCAAGAAATGTCTGCTCTTTCTTCTGCTCTTTCACTTGCCGTCCTTATCCTATTATTATTGGTTGCTAGTAATGAAGGAGCAACAGGAGGAGTATGTACTGAAGGATTCATGGACTTGAGTCTACTAGTAGCTAAAGCAGCTACACCAGTTGGCTCACTAGCTGATAATACTTTAGCTGAGGGCAATGAAGGAAGATGGATCATTGCCTATGATACATTCAATTGTACTACTGCTGCTGCAACAGGAGTACTTTTTGGAGTTGATATCAGATCAAAACATGGTAATAGAAACAAATATCCTAGCATTGACATATGGCAATACAGGCAATACCGAAGTGGTAATTGGCCTCGCCCAGCTTTGCGTAGGCGAGGACTAGGTACTCAGTTTGTCTGTCTGTCATTCATTCATTCTGTGTGCTATATTTTGTCTTTGAGAATGTATATCTTTACAATCGCGCACTCTAAACCTGTGAGAGCTTCTCTTCTGTTAGGAAAAGTCTTGCTTTACTGCTTCGAGATGTTTAGAGAGCAGCTCTAGGTAGTACAAGTTTTTTAACTCACGAGAAAATGCCCAGCAAAAGCGGTAGTACTCTGGAGGCAAATGAGACTCTTTCCCAGTAGATCAAGGCTATTTATTCATTTAATATGTGTGGGACTCTTTAAATCTTTCTTTTTGGTGAGTTATAGCTACTCGAATTTCATCCCGAGTGAAGTGCTGTAGCAGTAGTTCGCTAGTCCATGGCTAGTCTAAGGATCCTAAACTCTCTTAAATCACTCAATCTATCTAGGCAACAGTATTTGTGCCATTATAACATCATATAGCGCTTAGAAGAAGAGAAAAAACCTGAAGCTTCCCTCTCACATGGTCTTGCTGCATTAATGCCACGCCTCCAAGCAGGACCAAGCTGGGAGTTGGCCCTGGAGCTTGCCACTTCTGCAAGCATGCAAGAGCAAGTGTAACTGCAGCTAGGAAGCTAGCTGTTATGATAATCCCTTAGCCTCAAAAGCACACTTTCTATTTTTTTGCATAGCATGTTTTTCATAGATTGTGGCCACAACAAAAGCTGCAGTGGTTTTGAAACCCATGATGTTGTTTTTAAAATGAGAGTGCAATAAGTATGAATATACTGTATAAATAAGTGATAAATCTTGAGATGCTAATAGGAATTTATGAACACGTTTTACCAATTTTTGGGATTCTAGAGTCCCATCACACTTTTCACACTTGGCTTAGTCCAGGCTGTCTGCACTTTTGATCTATATCGTTTAACTATACTGGCTTAGGCTAGCTAAGCATAACACATCCCAAGCAGCTTTAGGGGCGAGGCCACGCACCTTTGGTGTCTCGTTACTATCAGAATCCTGTCACTATTCCTATTGTACTGTCTCCTGATAATGTCACTACTAATGGATTATATCGTTATGTTCTTCCTACTCCTTTTAGTGTCAATGTCAGTAATTTTGGTACTTACAGGATAGGAGTGTATCAACCTGAAGATGATTCAAGTATTGTTAGACTTTACAATGCAACCACTAGCAGCACAGAAACAGTTGGAAGAATAAGAGCAGGCTCAGTAATGGGTCATCGATATATAAGAATAAGTGGTCCAGATAGTGAGAAAGAAATTGATTTAATAAGAACAACTGATGTTTTTACGGTACATCTAATAACAAGTATTACAAATAATTCCCTAATTAAAATTTTTATTATCTAGATCCTCCAAACTGCTTTGAGAATGTTTTCACTGAAACTGAAATTAATACAAACAGTCTATCAGTTACTAATGTAATACCAGTCAGTGATACAAGAGCTTTTCCTGATATACAGTTCACATGTAATGGTATTATTACTAACTGGATAATTGGTATTACACAGAATCAGGATACAAGCAAACATTATCCTAACATTTATTTAAAACGTTCTTCTGAACTGATTCATGCACTAACTGTTAATGCTTCTGCTGCTACATCAAGTAATGGTAATGTATATAACTTTACAAGTGATATTGAAGTAGAGTATGGAGATATATTAGTAATCAATGTAACCACTAATAGTAATCCAATGTATTATCAACAATACAATGGACCCTTGAATTATGAGCTTGATAGCAGTAATGGATTAGTACCATTGGAACATAATGACTATCCACTGATATCAGTTATGATAAGTGAGTATTCTCAAATGATAAGTGCTATTATTAATC